AGGGAAATTGCAAGTTGGGATTAAAGTCTCTTTTGGGGGAAGTTTAAGGAGATGCGAAAATCCTGAGGGCTCTTTTGACACCTGAAGGGGTTTATTTGCTGTCGTACCTAAGCTGGAGTTCCCATCACCTCCCTTCAGATGGAAGAGTTTGCCTCTCGACCAGCTCCTTCCCTGGACAGGTCCCTGAAATCCTCTCCACAAGGGGCTTGCTGCTGAGCTGGTTCCCCTCTCAGGCATAGATCCCCATGTGCCAGCCTTGTCTCCAGCCTGGCTGGACCGGATACCCGCTGCCAGCAGTGGGGCTCAGCTTTGGGAACATGCAGCACTGCACAAGGTTGGAAATGCAGCTTTGTGTCCTGGACAGAAGCCCCCAATGACTGGCCCTTACCAGGAATGCAATTTCATGGCAGTTTCTTCCAGAAGGGGAAGAAATGATGTGTTGAAAATGACACAACGGTGCCTTGTCTTCTTGGGGGCTGTGAGTGGGGTGATTCCCTGGGCATGGTCCTCACCGTCTTTCACGAAGTGATGCTGTAGTAGCTGAGTGTATCTGCCCCTTCCCATACCTGGGGGGAGGAGACAGGCGCCAGCATCATCCATGGATCAAGTATTTGCTCTGGGACTGAGAAATGTAAGAAAACTTTGCACATCTTGCACAATGTTGGTACTGGCTTATTTGTAATTGAAATGTGGGTCCCTGGTGAGCACTGACATGACATGCATTGCCAGGGTGTCCCGCTGCGCCCAGTGCCAGCACTGTACTGTAAGCAAGGTGTGACATGGTGGCTGTCCCTGTCTGTGTGAGGGGTGAGGCTCTGAGCAGGACCTGCACAGCTTTGAGCACTGAACATGCATGTGGAGGAGTGGGATGAGGTGACCTTCAGAGGTCTCTGTAAGTGATGAAGCAGCTCTGCGCAGCACAGCAACAATAACAGGCAAGGGGATGGCCCATGGGAAGAAGGAATTTTATTGTTCAGGAGGAGGTGCACACTCTGAACACAAAAGGCAAACCCTGCCCCATGATCCCTGCAGTCCAGAGCAGCCCAAAGACCCCAGGCTGCATGATCTGACTCATGGACCACCTTGGAAAGGGGCATCTGGCAGCTCCCAACCTCAGATCCTGCAGCCACGTCACAAGGGTTGCCCAGCAAACCCAAAGACACATGCCTCTGGCACTGGCCTGCCCTCTGCTCTCCCCGCTTTGCCCATGGTGGACTCACTCTCCGGGGAGTCCCAAATGTTGGGAAGAGAGGACATGGGCAGTACCTACCATCTTGTGCTGCAGGGCATGGACTGCCCTCCATCATGGTGCTGACTGCAGGGTGGGTGTGAAGGTCTGAGTGCAGGACACAGGGTGCAATACAAATTAAACAACACATTGCATCTGTCCCCCATTACAAAAAGCTTCCATAGGAAGAAGTAAAGTGCCCGCCACAGTCAGAGAATCCATCAGGACGTAACCACCCTGGATGGAAAGCTAAATAAGCCTCAGAAAGGCCAGTTTAGCTGGGATTATTGCAGCTGAGAAATGGCTTTAACCCTCCCCCCCCAAACCCCATTGTGCCCAAACAGCACTGGAAGGAACAGACCTCAGGCCAGGTCCTACCAGTACCTGCATTCGAGTGATGCTGGATTTACTGTGCCAGAGCTAAGGACAGGATGCTGTGGGCCAGGCTGGTCCCTGGCAGTCACTGTGAGTTCCCTCCAGCGCTTCCCCCCTCCCCAGCCACGCTCCCAGTAGGTATTTTTTGCAGTGAGTTCAGCCCCATGACCAAGGTTTCTGTGCTTTGAGACCATTCTTGTGTACTTAACATCTTATTTCAGTAAAACAGCTCCCAAACCCTTAGAAAATCGTATTTACACCCAAGAGAAACCTTCTCAGCCCACAGCCTGCCCGCCACTGCCCCGGCATATCTGCAGCCAGCTCAGCCTCTCAGACCAGCTCCACGAGCCTCTGGAGGCCACTGCTCTGCCAAAAGAGATGCTCCTGTGGAGGAGAGAAGAGCTGTGGAGGGAAGTCCAAGCTCCCAGCCACCAGGCTCACCAGCTGGGTAGTGCTGAAGACCCTCTTTGCCCAGACCTGCTGTCCTCAGCCGTAGGACTGTGTGATTGCGGCTGGAAACATGGCTCAGAACCCTCCTTTGCAGATGACATGGCAGGCATGAGGTGGAGAGCCTCCTGCAGCACCCTGGGGCTTCTTGAGGCTCCAGATAGCAGACCCTGGCCAACACTCCTCCGTGCTGGGGAAGTTTCCTCTGCTGTTCCTGCCACTGCCACCAGGTCCCCTGTCCTCCTGGGCTTGGTAGAGGTGGACCATGAAGTCACCTGCAGGCTGGTGCAGTACAAGAGGTGCAGGCTGGAGTACATTGGAACTGGGAGGTAGTGGGAGCAGGGTTGTCTCTGCTTTGTGGCAGCCTGTGGAGCCCCCCTCAGTCCAGAGATCCAACAAACTCCCCACTTGTCAGATCCAGAGGAGCTCTGTGCCATGGCAAATCTAGTCCCACTGCTCCTGGTATTGCTGTTGTGTCCCATACCCCCTCCATCTGCTGGGGCCATCCTGCTGTGTGGAAGGGTTACCCCCTGACCTGCATAGTTGTGTGGGGACCCCCAGTGCCATAGAGACACAGTAGAAGATGGAGAGAGGCATGACATGTCCCTAGCCTGCTTGGAAGTCTGCTCCCCCCTTCAGATGGGGGAAGGAGGCAGCAGGACCATCGAGGTATCTGGAAAGCACATTTCCACTGATACTGAAATCAAAGAGATGCTGGTGGGGTTCCAGGTCCTGACCTGGTGCCCCTTTTCCTGCTCACCACCCTGCTGCCCCTTTGCCAGGGTAAGTGTTGAGGAATGCCCAATGCAGGTCTGCAAATCTGGTGATCAGAGATGCCTCCTGGGGCCATTTGTGTTCAGCAGCTGGGATCTCATGGCCTGGATGCTGCTCAAGATCTTCTTCTGGTGGCCCATCATAGTGATGCCCAGACTCCGAAGGTCCCTGGAGAACAAAGACAGTGTCAGACACCCCAAGGGTTGGACCTGTGCTGGGATCCACAGAGACACTGCTCCTCCCCATGTGTGCACCCCGTGGGCCAGCCCAGGACCCCGCATCTGGCTCCTCTCCTTGTGCCCATCAGCACAAGCCTGCTGCTGCTGAGGGTCCATGAGCATCCTCCCAGGGACACAGAGGCTGCCATTCCCTTGGCCATATCCTCCTGACAGGACTGCTGTGACAGCTCCAGGGGGAGCAGGAGCAGGATCACTCCTGACATGCAAGTAGGTGACAAGATCGATGATCTGAAATTGGATTCAGTTCTAGTGAGATGCCCTCAGATAACCCAGTCAGAAAGACAGATGGATGATGAGCCTTCCCCACTCAAGAGCTTCCCTGGTGTGCCTGAGAAACGGACCACTATCAGCTCAATCCCACAGCAAAGGCCCCACATACAGCCCCCAATCGATGCTTGACAGCCCTCTGTCTGCGTCTCTCCATCTCCCCTTCACTGGCTCCTTCTCAGCCTGCTGCACCTCAGCCGAGGTGTGCACTGTCACATCCTTCCTGCGTCACAGGAACCGTCTGGCAGCTCCATGTCTTTTGACAGGGAAGAAGTCTTCTCAGAGGCAGGAGAGGTTGTTGTCAGCCCTGGCACTAATGCTAACACCAAGGGATGGGGAAGGTAAGCCCAGGAGAGGAGCAAATATAGTTGCCATCTTTGCTGGTACTGCTTGGAGCATGAGCAACCTGCATGACCCCCTATACAGGTGACAGCTCCTTACAGCAGGAGGAGGAGGATGGGTCAGACACATCTTCCCCAGCTTTCCTTAACCCAGCTTTGGTCACTTGGCTATGACCTTCCACTCACACTAAGGTCTTATATGGTACTTCCCTGCCTAGCTGCACTGAGCAAGGAGCCAGACCAGTGCTCTGGGCCTGAAGAAGATCTGAGGTTTGTTTCCCTGTGATCTCAGAGAAGCTGTGCAGTATGGAGCAGCCATGCTCTGGTCCAGACATACCTTTTGCTGGGGAAACAAAGGTGAGAAGAGCAAGGAGACAGCAACCTCATATCTGACCCTGCTTTGATCAGGAGGTTGGATTATACGACCTTGTGAGGCACCTTACAATCCAAATTACCTATGAATCTATGATAACACTGGAGAGAAATCACAGAGCACCAGAGGTGACCTGGTGCTCACACCCTCTCAAGTACAACTCCCAGACCTTCTCCCAGCAGTCAGCACTACCTTGGACATTGTCCCAGATCTCAACACCATTTCCTTAGGGTTATATCTCTGGCATTAGGGACCGACTAGATTGATAAAGCCAGGGCAGGATGGTCACTGTTAGGGGCTAGTGGGATGGTGCAGGGCAACCCAACCATTGTTACTCACTCGATGTTCATGCGCATCACCATGCCCAGGGAAGAGTATCCTGCCATGGCAAAGTTGTCCCGGTAGTGCCCCAGTCGGATGGAGTCCAGCCAGTCCTCCACGGTCAGGCAGGTGGCCAGGTCGAGGAGACCCCTGTCAAAGGGTGTTTGGGTGAACCTGTGAGCAGGAAAAAAAGGAGTTAAACCAAGAGGTGTTGGTCCTCTGTGGCCAGGCTGTGAGGTCCACCTTGAAGAGCCTGTGACCCTGCAGGTGGGGGCAGGCATCACTGCTGTATGGGCACTGCTACACCAGACTGTGGGAGCAAGGCAGCGAAGTGCCCACAGTAATGTGTGCCCATGAGCCCTGTGCATGACCATGGTCACAGGGAAGACACAGCTGCTAGAGCTGGACAGAAACACCCTTCATTCCCTGCAACCCACATGCTCTGCCCAGCACCAGCTCGTCACGCAGCCCTTACCGGTTCACGGTGGCCGTGCACTTCAAGTTGTCTGGGTTGCGGATCAGCTTATCCAGGATGCCAACAATCTGGGAGAAGCGTGGCCTCTCGCTGCGGTCCTTCTGCCAGCAATCCAGCATAAGCTGGTGCAGGGTGGTGGGGCAGCCCATGGGAGCGGGCAGGCGGTAGCCTTCCTCCACCGAGTTAATGACCTGGAAGGAAGCCACATGCCAAAGGGGAGTTGCACCCCATGCAGGTCCCAGTGGCCCAGACAATGGCACACAAGGCAGATCCGTGGTGTGTGAGCTGCTGGTACCATCAGATGGGGAAGCAGGGGTGAAGTGTACACAAGATTCATGCTAAACAACAAACAAATTTCTAGGGGGCCATGTGAAGCCTCTGGAGAGCTGGGAGCAGGCTGGATACCAAACACATACAGAAATCACTGCTATGAGAGCGGATTTATTAGGGCATCCAATAGGCCTAAAATATTGCAGCTTTCCTCTGGCAGACAAACAAGACCCTTGCTCACACTCAGTCATTCTACAACCTGGGCTTGCCCCAGCTCAGAGGAAATCCTGCTGGCAGGAACTGTGTGGAGGAGGCAGTGCAAGCACTGCATCCATTCCTTGCTGTCACCAAAGCCACTTCCTAAAATAATAAAAGCACTTGGGAGAGGGGATTCTCAGGACTCCCAGGGCAGGGAGAAGAAAAACAGGTTTACAGTCCCTGTAGGTGGAAAAAAACAAAAACCAGGAAGTTCTGTGGTACTGAAGTCAAAATATTCATTTTATCTCCTTTTGGAAATATTGCTCCCAGGTTATAGTTAGGAACATAACCTAATATTTGCCTATAATTTTTATGCCACTCTGGAGGTAAGAGCAGCTCCACATAACTGTGACAAGCCCAAAGCCGACTGCCAGGTGATGCAAGCCTGGTGCTCTCAGGGCAGTGGAAAGGGTGGACACCCAAGCCCTGGGTGCAGGAGGGACTGGCAGGCTAATGCAGTGGGGCTGCAGTGATCCTAGGGAAGCCCTGACCCCTTCCAGGGAATGGGAAAGGTGGCACATGTCCTGAAGCTCTCCAGCCAGCACATAGTCTTGTACAGAGCAGCAGACAGGGATGGGGAGACCCACAGCGCATACAACCAGGAAAGCTGCGCAGTGCAGTGATGGACAACAAGCTGATGTCCCCACTGAGGGGACAAGCACAGTGAGCACAGCCCTGCGGGGATGTGAGGAGAGACAAGGGCTGCTCCTTGGGTCCCTTTTCCCCAGCCCCGTGCCCCTGTGCACTCACATCCCGGTTGGTCATGTTCCAGTACGGGCGCTCGCCGTAGGCCAGCACCTCCCACATGACGATGCCATAGCTCCACACGTCGCTGGCCGAGGAGAACTTGCGGAATGCGATGGCCTCCGGAGCCGTCCAGCGAATGGGGATCTTCCCCCCCTGAAAAAGGGAGGAACAGCGGAGGCTCAGAGCACGGCAAGCTCAGCATCCCTAGCTCTCGTTAGACAAGTGGTACAGGGAGATGGCATCTTCTGGAAAGGGCTGAGGAGGCAAGCTGTACAGGACAAGCCTAGAGGTGTACCTGAGGGGTAACTTCAAGGTATCTCCAGTAGAGCAGGAGAAAGCTGTGATGTTTTACAAGGTCTTCTTCATGCACAATTCTGGCCCTCAGTGTTCAAAAGAGAGGAATTCAAAGTGATGAAGTTGAGCTGAGGGCTACCAGAGCACACAAGCATGGAGCTGTACCTGGGCACAGGCAGAGGGCCTGAGTTGAGCAGACAAGGAAAACAATGACATGTGCTCCCTGTCTACTGCTGCGTTGGCAGGCAAGCACTGAAGAGGACGATTTGTTGAGTTACAGGACCATACTGACAAAAGTCAGCAATATATGGGCTAAGAATACACTTAAGCTGGAAATGTGGATGCCAGCTATCTGAAGAGGAAAGCTGTGGTTAGGAAAAATCAGTTAGGTTTCCCAGAGCAGCTGGGGCAGGCATGAAGTGCTTGGGAAACCTTTCAGGTCATCCTGTTTAGGGAGAGTTGCCTCCACCCAATTGAGTCCTGCCTGCTCTGGCGCTCTTCTTGATAGGGGCTGAAGATGAACAATGTGTCCTTTGGGAGAGTCCCTTTGGGGAAGTAATCTCCTGAGCAGGTCAAGGACAACAGGGGAAGAACATCTCATCACAAGTGGGGAACAAGAGAACATTCTTGTTTTCTGGATACCCTGACTAAGACCTAACCAGAGATCTTGTGCTCCTGATCCCGTCACTGCATCCTTGTTGTTCAGCTCTATCCAGACTATTGACCTAGTCTTCCTCCGGAACAACCAGCTCTTATTCTGTGTCAAGGTGCCTCAAAACCTCTGCTTGTGACATTCCTGGTGGTTGCTCCCTCCTCTGGTGACCTCCCTACTCACATTCATACTGGGGACCTGAGACACTGTCCCTAGAGACTGGGTGGGATTGGAAAGGGTCAGCAGGTAGGTCAACACCCAAGCTCTCGTCCATCAGGTCACTTCCTGACCCAGAGTGGTCATTGACATAGTGTCTCTGGAAACTTGTTCACAAGGATTAAAAGCACTGGGGGCAAGCTCAAAGACTGGCTTGGTGGGAGGAGGGCCAGGCTCTGTGTGTTTGTGTGACACAGAGGAGGACATGGGCTGCTCTGACACCAGGAAGCCCAGGCTGATCTTGGGCTTCTTCTTACCCTTCCTCTGAGAGTCCCAAAGCCAAGACGCAGAGAATGCTGTACTTGAACCAAGCAGCAGGAACCTTCCCTAGAATTAAAGGATCTGAAATATCATGTTATTTCTTGAGATACCAAAGGGAGCAGCTGAATACAAAGACACACAGAGGACACATTCTGGCACACTTTTTCACTTGGCTGAAGCCAAGCCAAAAGCATGAAGGCCATGGTCTCCAAGCTGGGCCTCTGTGCACTCATCCCTCAGAGCTGCAACTGCTTTGGGCCATGTCCTGCATTGCCATCAGCTAACCCAAAGCAACTTCAAGCTCTTTCTGCTTCTTTAGTCTTTGTCCTTCTGAAAAGTGATGCTCAGACTCCAAACTGCCCCCCATCAGGAACTGTCTATCCACAACATTTTCCCAGCCAGAGGTGTGCCTGGGGAGCACAGTAATTCCTCCTTTCATGGCCAGAGAAGAACTAAAAGAGCACATTCCCTCAATATACTTCATTCCACCTCTGGTGATCTCCAGTGGAGCAGCACATCAAACTCCAGAGTTGTCAGGTTGGCCAGAAAAATCTTAAAATGGCTTCACAGACAGAAGTGTCTTACATCAAACCATCATCATCTGGGCTGCAAAGCCAATTCCCACCTTTTCCACACCCCTGAATAACGCAGAATCATATGGGAAAACTACTGCGTGGCCATGCTGCTGCTGAGTCTACCATAACACCCACTGACTGACCAATGGCTCTGGGACAACTGAAGGAGTGGATGGAGCTACAGCCTACGGAAGGACTCCAGCAGGGACATGGGACTGTCCCTGTGCAGTGGGTCACATGTGCCCACAGGAGTTGTTTGTCTGGAGAGCTTTGATCATCTCCCTGCTCTGTTCACTGCAAGCCTCAGTTCTGGGATGCCCCTGTATGAAGGAAAATGCTCAAAAGCTCTTTGGGTTCATGTTCTTGGTCCAGATACCAGCAGTGAGGTGACTATCTCCAGTCCTACCCTGCCTATCTTGACTTGAGAATGCCTAACTTTGCCATCTGTCAGTGGCCTGGGGCAATGACCACTGGCAAGGCTCAGCAAGGCTGCAAGGCAAGGAGCCACGCACCGTGGTGGTGTACGCAGCATCGGGGTCGTCCTCCAGGATGCGTGAGAGGCCAAAGTCAGACACTTTGCAGACCAGGTTGCTGTTCACCAGGATGTTGCGGGCAGCCAGGTCCCGGTGCACGTAGCCCAGGTCAGACAGGTACCTCATGCCCGCTCCGATGCCACGCAACATGCCCACCAGCTGGATGATGGTGAACTGCCCATCGTGTTTCTGGAAAGGAAATATCCCAACGTTCATTCGTGCTTTTCACCAGCATCCTATTGATGCTGCTCTCGTTAAACTAACCCCCTGGTACCTCTTATCTTTGACTTAGTACCTCTTCTAGCCCCAGTGCCTCTGTCTTGTCCTCCAGCCTACTTCCTGCCCCCCCAGAACCTCTGACATGCAGCTCAGGCAGATGTCCCTGCCTTTCCCCATGGAGCTGAGCACGATGCCCTGGTGCTGATGTCTGCTGTAGAGGTGAGAGCCCAGAGCACACCCCTAGAGCCCAGAGCACACCACTCTCTTGCAGGGGTTGCAGTGGTTGTGAGGCTAAGAAGCAGGAACCAGCCTCTCCTCCAGTCACTCAGCCCAGGGGGATGTGCAGTGAATGAAAATACAGAAGAGCTCCTTACCCTGAGGAAGGTGTCTAGCGAGCCATTCTCCATGTATTCTGTAACAATCATTACTAATTTGCCTGCAGAAGACAAGGGAGGTCAAGTTAGCAGAGAAGTCACCTTCCTCTGGGAAGCCCAGTGCCAGGCTTTTACTGGAAGAGATGTGAATCCATCCTCCAGCACCCCACAGAGCTGTCTCAACCCCTGCACCACACAGAATGGGCACAGCGTTGGGGATGTGGCAATAACCCCGACACTTACTCCTCCCTCCCAGTGCTATTGATGTGGCTAGGTCAGCTTCCTTATCCTGCGGAAATCTACATGCCATTAGCATAACACTTTGCATCAGAATGTGCCTTTTAGAAGGAAGACTTCAAATTATGATGCAACACAGGCAGCCTTTAAAATAAACACTAATGGGTAGAACATCTCCTAAACCAATAACCCTGACCTGGGACCACTGCAGAGCAAGGTGGTGAAGTGACACATTGAAAGTCTCTCCTGTAAGAGAAGGCAAGGGGGAGGAATGGAGGGGACCCCGGTAAATGGACATCTGAGAAGTGGGCATCGGGGGCAGCTGAAGGAGTGAGTGCACCCAAAGTGAGCCCTGACCCCCATCTCCCAGGGTGCCCAAAGGGAGGTACATCCCAGTTCTGCCCCGCCAGCATCCCAGCCCCACCAGCAACATACTCCTGGTCACCACCCCTTCCAGATGGATGACATTGGGGTGGTCGAACTGCGCCATGATGCTGGCTTCACTCAGGAAGTCCCGTCTCTGCTTCTCTGTGTAGCCGGCTTTCAGTGCCTTGATGGCTACAGGAATCTCTCTCTTCCCTGGCAGCTTCAGGCGGCCGTAGCACACCTCTCCAGACTCCCCTGCAAGGCAAGCGAAGGGCATGGGAAGCTCCTGAGCTTCCTGCACTGACCCACCAACACTATGGATCACCCTGTCTGCTGTGATCAATCCCCTGGGACTGCCGGGCTCTTTGTGCATTGCTGCCTCTGAGTACAGGAAGGATTTCCCATCTCCAGCTTCCAGTGCCACCTCTGGGTCCTAGGCAGGAATATCAGATACCACCTCCCTCTGATGCCTTATATTGAAAGTGATGGGCCAGTAGCAGTGATTACAGTGGCACTTGCTTTACTGCTTTTAATGAACAAAGTTGGAAATCTCCTAGAACAGCAGGATGTCTCCCAGCCAGGTTTCCTAATGCTGTTCTGGGGGTAAGCCCTTGGGATGCTGCTGGTGAAGCTCCATCTCCATCTCTGCCCTGTGCTTCCCTGCAAAAAATCCTTTTTGTTCTGAAAATGTGCCATTTTGCTTACAAATTCGTTTGCATTTTGTCACTGTAGATGCTTGCAGCAAGGTTTCAAAGCAGGGTGGCCACGCTGGAGCACCCACACAAGACAGGCTGAGCCATCTGCTGTGTCAGCCTGAGCTGTCGGTGCCACGCCAGCAGCCCCCTGCACTGGGCTGCCTCCAAGGAGCTTATTTCATGCATCAGAAAAACTCCCCCTCTACCCATGATTTTGATCACTAACAGGATATAGAGCGGATGAAGCCCTGGCTGAGCACTGTGCTAGTGCTGCTCAGCCTCCTGTGGTCCCAGCACAACCTCAGACTGAATAACCCTGAGCAGATGTGAGTGAAGAGGCATCCTGGCCTGGGGACTCACCAGACCCAATGACCTTCTCAATCTTGATCCGGGAGGCCTCAATTTCACGGGTGAGCTCATGCACAGCTTGGCAGGGGTCCTCATATGTGTGGGGGTCCACGTAGAACTTGGACTCGGGGAACTTCACTGCCAGGTTTCAAAGCACAGAGAGGAGATAAGCTCTTACAGACAGCTCTGCTAAGAAGTAGGGGCACCCAGCAGCTGGGCAGAGAATGGGCAAGGGCAGGACTCCTGGGCTGACATGCTGAGGAGCCACAGAGGTTGCACCCCCAAGGAAACTTAAGACACTCTTTAGCATAGCAGCATCCTCAGAGCAGTCCAGGACCCAGCTGCCCAGGTCTCCTCCATTGGATTATCCCCCTCCATTAGGCCCCCACTCTTCTGGCCTGCCGCTATCTGGGATGAACCACCACAGTCCCATCTCACACTGTGCAACCCCTCAAACCCCATCACCAGGGTGTCCCTGGGATCAGAGTCCCTGCTTAGCTCTCCTGGACACATCCCCAGAAGCAGTCAGTGGTCCAAACCACAACAGTTCCAGCGGGTAATGGTCCAGGTCACTGCCCATCCACAGGGCTGAGACCCTTCACACCCCAGCGGCAGCAGCAGGGAGGGTCCTACCTTGCCCATTCTGATAATGCATCTTCTCCTCGTCGGAGTCCTGGAAAGCCTTGCTGTACCCACAGTGCCTGCCATGGGGGGACACAGGTCAGAAGAGGTGCTCTTGTCCCTCACTCCCACCAGCAGCCCAAAGGCAGGGTGGAAAGCAGTGTGTGCCAGGGCTGTAGGCAGCCTGGGAGGACCTCCAGTCAGCAGTGGTACTGGTTGTGCTATTGCTATGGCTATCGCTATCGCTACTGCTTTTCAGTCTGCTCACATAGAACAGTAGAATCAACCAGGTTGGAAAAGATTACCCCAAGACTGACAATGAGGGGAAGGTCTGGAGACTGCCTCTGCCTCAGGGAACATGGAGGCAGGGTGACCTCTAAACAAAGCGTCTTGGTTGCTTATTAACTCCTGACCTATGGATGCTCTGGAGAAGTTGAGAAGAGAAAAGCTGTGCTCAAGATCTCCTGGAGCTCCAGCCCTGCTTGGTGACAAGCCATACTGACCTCCAGACAACACTTACCTCTTTTTGCAGATTAAGACCACCAGCAATGCGACAAGGCCAGTGATGAGTGTGAGGCAGATCCAGACAATCGTCATTGTGTCGTACCGGAGAGAAACTGGAAGAAGCAGGGTAGGAAGAAGGTGAGCTAGAGAGCAAAGACTCTGCTGGGCTCAGGAACCTACCTAACCCAGTGGGGTTATAGTCTTTAAAGATTAAGCACCATCACCCATGCAACCCCAGCTTTGGGGCTGTCCCAGTGTACAGGGATCCTTTACACATGGGAAAACCAAGCATAGATGTGGGAAAGCCATGGTGATACAGCAAACCAGCAGAGAGTGGAGTCCGGAGCCTTGGGACCCCACCAAGTCTTCCTTGCCTTAACTGCTATATCCTTCCTCCCTCTTCTTTCTAATGTATAAGCACATCTCAGAAGGGTAACCTCAAGCAAGCCCTGCGAGCTCCAACCCCTGTGTGGCAGAGGAACACTGGCCATGGAGAAGGTCACCACCATTCCCCAAGCTCCCTGCCCCACACGTCTCACACCCCACAGCTGCAGCCACTCACCTGGCTTCCCCGTCTCCACCTCCACAGTCTGACTGAACCTCCCGCAGCCAGCGGACGTGCGAGCCCGAACCTGGAAGATGTAGCGGGTTGCAGGCTTGAGCCCAGAGATAGTGGCAGTGGTGCCCTTGGATTTCAGAGTCGAGTAGCTCTGCATTTCCTTGTCCTGACAAAAAACAACCCCAAAAACCTTGCTGCATCAACACAGCAACCACAAAGCCTTCCAAAACAGTCCTTTGTGCAGCAACTGCTATCAGGATTTAAACCAAGACCCTGTCTAAACCTGCCGTGCTGGCACCAGTTTGCAGCAGCAAGTAAGTTCAGCATTACCTTCTCGTAGTACTTGATCTCATACTCCAGGATGATGCCATTGGGCTGGTCTGGCTCTTGCCACAGCAGGGTGACACTGTTCTGGCCTGTGCTCTCCTGCTGGACCACCATGACCTGGGATGGGGCTGGGGATGCAGATGACAGGGTGTTAGGTGCCTGCTGGCGGGGGTCCTGCATGGTGGCAGCAGCCAGATACAGCATCAGGGAAGGCTGGATCTGGAGCTTCATGCAGGAGCCTTGGTTTAAGACATATTTCTGCTTTAATTAAAGCCATAGAATCATAGAATTACAGAATCAACCAGGTTGAAAAAGATCTTTAAGATCATCAAGTCCGACCATTACCCCAGGACTGCTACCACTAAACTAAGGGCCTCATCTACACATTTTTGTGGAGGTGAGTGCTATGAAGGGGTTTGCAAACAGACTTTTGTTTGCCTCAGTTGCCTTAATCTCTTTTCCATGGAGTGAGCAGGCTCTGAGGAGATGAAAGAGGAGGGCACTGCCCCAGCACAGGCTGGGGGGGACACTGGTGCGTTGCTGTGATCTGGAGCCAGAAAGAAGGGGTTGAGGGGGTGGTCATGGAAATCCCTACCAGGACCTTGACCCCTCCTCCCTGACCTGAGGAAGTGGGAAAAGAGAGAAAGGGAGGATGATAAATGCCCAGAGGGGTGATCAAGGACTGATCACCAGTCTAAAGGTATCCCAGGGGTGTTCTCTTGCCCTCAGATACTTTTCATCTGCCTGGGCCTGAGTTGGGATGCTTGTCCTTGTACCTGCCATGCCCAAAATGAAGCTGTCACAGCCAGAGGACCCAACTCACCAGCCACTTTTCCTGCTTGGGAAATGGCCCCTGGAAGGACCCTGGGGAGTGTGAAGGGTGCTGCAATGGCCACATGCAGCCATTGGGTCCAACTCAGGGGAACTCATGGTTCAGACACCACTTGTGACCTCAACGGCCAGATGAAAAATGGGATGTGGTGGCTCTGGGGAATATGGAGCTGCCATTTGCCATGGCTGCAGCACAGGAGTGGTGTTGGAGAACAAAAGAGGCCACAGGGGCTGTGATGGGGTACCCACGGACTGAAAGGCAGCAGCTGTAGCTCAGTTCCTCTTTGGGCTGGCTCTTATGAGGAGCAGAAACCACTGTTGGGACACAAGACCCCAGGTTGCTGGGACAGGGTGGGATGGTGGGAATCTGCCCCAGGGCATCTCTGCTGCACCCACTCCTGCCCTGCTCAGGGCCTGGGCCCCATGCAGCATGGCTGGGTCCCTCACTGTAGTGAATTTCTTCCTCACATCCAGCTTGAATCTCCCTTTTTTCAGTCTAAACTCATCATCCCTCATTCTATTTCAACAGTCCCTGCTGAAAAGCCTCTGCCCATCTTTCTTTGAAGACCTTTGAAGGTACCTTCCACCTCAAATTATTCTATGATTCTATGATTTCCTGGGGAAAAAGCAATTCAAATCAACGGATTTACAAAGAGGAGACATGCATGGGAGAGACTTTCCCCAGCTGCTGTCACCTGCCAGGGCCTGGCACTGGTGTGTGCTAAAAGCAGAGCATGAACTGCTGCTAGGCCCTTTGGGAAGGGACAGAAGGCTGGAGGAATGGCCTGAAAGATTCATGCTCCACTTAATGTTCCTGTCAACAAACAAGTGTTCTTCATGCCCCCTGCCTCCTGCAGAAAAGGAGCCTCTACCAGCAGCTGCAGGCTGAAGTGGAGGGAAAGGAGGGTGAAAAGGGATTCTGTGAACCAGAGAACCACTGTTGCCTTGGGCAGCAGCTTGTCTCCAGCCCACTCTGGCTCCCTGAATCCATCTCCTACAGCAGAGAGAACAGGAGCCACATCTCCTGGGCATTCCATGCCCATCCCCAAACCAGCCTTTGGCTGCTAGGGGTGCTGCAGATCCTGGCGGGAGCAACACTGGAGCAACATCAGCATCAGCCACACAGGCAAAGCCTCAGGTCGGGGGGTGTCTGCTCCTCCTACCTGCCTGGTTTGTTGTGATGTTGGCGACTGCAGCTCTTCTAGACTCCAGGCTGAGGTCAGAGACGCCGTTGACAGCCTCCACCCAAAAGGAGTAGTTGGTGTGGGCCAGGAGGTTGGTGACGGTCAGCGCGCCCTGCACCAGGCTCATCTGCTGCGGCACGAAGCGGATGCCGCTG